CACCTACATAGGATTAAGCCTTTCCATTATCGGAATGATTCTAACCATAATCATGTATTCCTTGTTCACGTGAGTAATCAATATCAACTTTCTTATGAATTTGATTGGTTGATACTAACAAAGAAATACATAGAAATCACCGTGGTATATTTCTTCTTAAATTAGAGATGTTCATGAACCTCTCGCTCATATACGACTGAGTCTCGCCGCATCGCTCGCAGCTGGTCAAATAAGCTTTCTCGCTGGAATGCACGCCATGGATAACCCAGTGAGTGACTTCTATTCACATTCCCAATAATTAATCTATTTACTGGCCTCATCATAAACATTATCATGTTTTTTTTTTTCAATTTTTTTGGCTTCCATTTCGAATTTGAAATTTATTAAATGAAATTATTATTAAATTTTTAAAATTTATAAGGAACGAGAAAAGGAAAAGAGCAGGAAAACCTTTTTTTTTTTCCTTTTTTGCAGGCCATTTGCATCACAGCAGCAGTTCTTACGCAGTATTTCCTCATGGCCGCTTTCTGCTGGATGCTAGTGGAAGGAATCTACTTTTACTTGTTGATTGTGAAAGTTTATAACATCAGCAATAAGTTGATATTGTATCACGTCATGGCATGGGGTATTCTCCCTTAATCTCTGATGACTTTTATTATTGTTAGCGCTGATCTACCGTATTTTGAATAGGTTTATTGCTGATATGATTTCACACTAATTTTGACCTTCCCCTCTCTTTGTGTGTGAAGGTTTCCCCGTCATTATGGTCAGCACTTCTCTCAGCATCGCAATCGGAGAAGGAGGGATTCATAGCTACACCAGCATTAAATAGTAAGAAACAAAGTTTACGTTAACCTTACCTCCTATTTTGCTTTTTCTCCATGTCTTGGTTTTTCTCTGATTTGGGTGTCCTTTTCAAAAAGAAATATCCTTATGTTTGTTTGTCGTTTCGCTCACGTCTGCCAATTTTGCGTTTTTTGCTAAATTTCATTTCCTCCTTCGTTCTTTCACTTACACTCCTCTTCAGCCTTCAAATATCATCATCTATTAAATTTTCTTTTTCTTTTTCGGTTCTTTTCTTAAGGCAGCAAAGCGCACTATTTGTCTACATCCCCCCTGATATTTGTTCGTCTTTCCCTTTTATTTTATTATATCGCCATTTTATTTCTTCTCAATCATGAGCTTTGATTTGATTTTCATTTAATTTGATCGGAGATTATTTGCCAGTTTTTCAGCTTTGTCTTTCCTCTTTTCTTCTTTTTAAGTTGTTGGTTGTCGTCAACTTATGACTTGATCTGGATATTTGTCACATTTCTGACGGCAACTGGAGTTGTAAGCTACGATCAGATTTTGCAATTCAATATCAAAACTATAGCATTAGAATAAAATACTTGACCTATTTAATTTTATTAGTTTTATTTAGTTTTTCTTTTCTTTTCTTTTCTTTTCTTTTCTTTTCTTTTCTTTCTTTTCTTTTCTTTTCTTTTCTTTTCTTTTCTTTTCTTTTCTTTTCTTTATATTTATTTATTGATCTATTTATTTTTTGCTTTGCCTTGTTTTTTTAGCTTAGCAGTTTTATACTCGCACGTGTCACAAGGAAGTTGACTACAGTGCCGCAAACAGAACCCAACAAGATTCAGCGAGTCCGGTTAGATGGAGCTTTATATTGTTCCTTTTTTGTTTTTTGTTTTTTTTGTTTTTGTTTTTTTAAAAGGATTTTAATTGGGTGACTGTCCACTTCAGTAGCAGTTAACTTATCTTGCAGACATATTTGCCAATAACTTGATGAAAATTGGCATGTAGATATGCGAAATATTAAATGACATGTGAGATGTAGTTTAAGGGTTGATATTAGCTACGGGAGGATTCAAGCTTCTAAGTTGAAGAAGGAGAGTTTAGTAAACTCATTATTTATTTTCTGATCGGGTCTTATTTTCTATTCTCCTTCCAAGTTTGATAATGATGGGCAAGTCAAAAATTAAAGTGCAAAAGTGAGAAATCTAAAAACGTGCTCTATGGTAAATGGGGAACGGGGTCACTACCCTTTCCCCGCCCTGGCAGCGGCATTTGCATATGTATCCTATAATTTCAACATCATCTTGTAGACGACCCGACGGGCTATTTATGTAAAGTAAATACTTTTTGAAATAGCGTAAATTAAGGGTTCAGGGTTCCCCCCGCCTTCTCGTAACAAAGTTGGGGTAAGGTTGTGTCTGTACGTCCGAGGGTTAAGAGGGCACCATTTACATGATTTTCTGTTTGGTTATAACGATGAGAGCTAAAGTCATCTGAAAACTGGAATTAGCTATCATTTGTCCTGTTTTAGACTTGGCATCAAAGCATGTGTCCTGATGATTCCCCTTCTTGGCATCACTTGGTTGTTTGGTCTTCTGTCACCACTGCACAAGGCTTTCACCTACATCTTTATCATTCTCAACTCTACTCAGGTTTGCTATAAATTTCCTTTAGCTTTGCTAATAAAAGTTAGAGACTTGAACCCTCTTAACAAATGAAGTAATTCCATCTATGAGTCAATCAATGTACTAATCAGACCGTCCGTTTTTAGTCAGTCTTTCTTCCTACCCATCTATCAGTCATTCCTTCAGTTTTTTATCATTTTGATAGCCATTTTGCCCTTAAGCCGATGAATAATTTCATCAGTCAGTCAATCCCTCAACCATCTGTTTTTCTCCCTTCATAAACTTACAAATTAAGTTCTGATGAGTTAATAACTGCTCTGGTCCGCAAAGATCTCTTTACTTGTCATGATATTGTGTTTTAAAAAAATGACTTATTACCCATAATTATATTTGTATTGTAGGGTGTCCTGATTTTCATCTTACACTGTATGAGAAATAGCGAGGTAAGATTAAAACTAAAAAAAATAAATACTGTAACATTGTGCAAACCATGACGGAATGCAGCCCACTTGAATAAGCGGATTTTAGAACTCAGCAACTGGTTAATGCAAACTTTATGTTTATTAACAGATTAGGGAGCGATTGGAGGGAAAAATTAAAACAGAGACCATTGGTCAGGTTAGAGCTCGAATGAAAGCTCGAACGAACGCTGTTTTCCCATCTCCGAACGACAGAAACTCACAACCAAAGAATGTAAAGATGGAGGTGCAGTTTGGGCAACTAAATTGCACCCATTCAGCGAATATGGATTAAAAAAGCCGATTGTTATGTACTGTGATTTTTTAGGCCACGATAATTCTCCGGTCGCAACTCATCAGTTTCCATTGTCCTTCTGCTTGGTTGGATTGTTTTTGTAAATTAGAAAAAGAAAATAAGTCTTTCATGGGGAGGTAGAGGCTAGTGACGTTTGTTTATCAGAATAATTAAGTGACCCAGCCTATCGCAGTCTTAAGCTGAAGTAAGTTAGAGGATTAAGTCTGAGTCAGTAGAGCAGTTAACCATTCGGCAATTCAACATCATTTAATTAACTAAATATGTGAAAGCTAGATATTGTACTTTTATATAAATCGCAGCCAGATGCTAGATTACGTACATTTTGGGATAGACTTGTAGACATTATTATACAGTGCAAGACTCCAACAAGCTCTGAAAAGGTTATACTGTTATCGATAGACAGGAAAATAAA